AAAAATATCCTCCAGTGAGGATTGACAGCAACAATAACAAAAAAAGATTTTAATTCTTTATCTGTTGCTTACATATAGCCAATATTTTCTTTCAATTCTACTTAAATTTTGCTTGATAATTAAAATATTTTTTCCTTTATTGCTTTTATTATGTACCATATCTCTTCTAAAATATATACTAAATACAAACATGGACCTGTCTCCATACCCTCTATCTTGCTCTCAGAATTCTTTAATCTTAACAGTATTAACGAAAAAGATGAAGAATATAGTCCATTTCTTTGGTACTAGATTTAATTTCCTCACAACCCACTATGCTCTAATTTCTAAACATTTCATATATATTATCAGAAACCTCATATAATTAAAAACCCAAACCATGATAATATGTTACTAGTAAGTGGCAACACCAAACACAGAAAAATATTTAACATACGTGGTAGATGATAAACTTAACAATTCTCTAATTTGGCTTTTTTATAATTAAAGTTAGAAAAACACCGTTTCATTCTGAACAGCTACTTCCTCATCGTCACCAACTAAGTGAACCCCAGCCCTGTATCTCAGGACGGCTGTGTGAAAAGTTAACTGTACACAAAGACAGGATTTAATTGAGCTATATCGACTTTCCCCGCTTTGAGTATAGCAATGCTGACCAGAGCAATTAATCTGCAAACTATTTCGGTGAAACTAATGTAACTTTGTTGGGTATGTGGTCATTTTGGTTAATCTGACCAGAAATAAAAAAAATAGTCCTTTACCTCAATGCGAGGACTCCATCTAAACAATGATAACCTAACAGTGAATAAAAAAGCCAGTGCTTAAGAATTTATATGATTCTATTCAGGTACAGTTAAAGAATGAAGCAATGTGTTGTTTAAGGAAACATGGTAAACTACAGAAACGCGAGGCAATGATTACCATGAAATTCAGCACAGGGACAGCTGTGGGTAATACGGCCCATAAGGAAGCTGATGCTATCTTACGGCACTTCCCACATTCATTTAATCCAAAAATGTGCTCTTACACACCTCTGGTTTGATTAAAGGGCTAACTGTGAGAATAAGAGCTATGCAGTGTTATTTGGGTAAGTTCAGAAGTAGCAAAAAGACTCAATTTTTTTTAGTGGCTCACTTTTCCTTGGTATGGTAAGCCACTTCATTTCCCCACAAAATACATGATTTAGAAATAAAATTCCTCTCAGAGATTATTATTAATGAATCATGGAAAATTATCCTTCCTTTCAAAAATATATCACTGGCATATAAAAACAAGAGCTCGCAAAAACGATTTCTAGGAAGATTCTCCATTTGGAGAAATGCGCAGTGAGGCTTCTTTTAGGTAACACAACACACGAGAAAACGGACCCCAGACACCAGCGTGACTGTTACTCCCCTTTACTGCTGGGAAAGTACTCAGGCTGAGGTGGAAAGTTCTTTACATGATGCTGGCGATTTTTCACATTTTATACTTTAGGAATCGAGACTCCAAGGCAATAGTCTTCAACCTTTTTCTGAACAAGAAACCCCATTTGCTTGATGTCTTTGAAGGCTTTGATGCCAAGACAGATATTTATAATGTGCAGTTTTGACATTTGCAATGGAAAAAAAACTCACATTCAAAAAAGAAACTTCAAAATATGGAAGTTATGCCAAGACTCTGCTTGGAATGGTCTTACAAAATAAAAATAATTCCATTACAACATTCTAATAAGGAAGCGGTAAGAACTTCTGGATTAGAATATGGAAAAAAATTCAAATGGCTGCATTCCATGAGGACTACTTTATTATTATTATTATTTTTTAATCCTCACTCGAGGATATGTGTATTGATTTTAGAGAGAGAGGAAGGGAGGGAGGAATGGAGAGAGAGGTGAACACTAATCCATTGCCTCCAGTACACGCCCAACTGGGGACCGAACCCACCACCCTCTAGTGTTCGGGACGCTCCAACCAACCGAGCCGCCCGGCCCGACCAGGACAACTTTCTTTACAACCATGAAGAGGCTGTGACACTATGCCAATGATTTAGGAGTAATACTTACATGTTTTCTTTCTGTAGCCTTTAGAGATTTAGCTGCATAGTAAAAAAGTTGTGTCCCACACAAAGCTGCCCAATATTTTGTCCAAGATGCCACCTGGAGAGAACACACGAATACATGACTAAAATGCCGCTGGCTTCCCCGTCTCTTCACCTTCTCAGTGCCACGATCCTTAGCTATGCCCACTTCAGCCATCAGCCCAACCTCAGAGCTGTACCACTTCTAGAATCTCTAACTCAAATATTCCCATCACTTCCACTTAATATACTCTACTGAATAGTCCTTTCATTCAGGTAATTATGCATCTCACCAAGAATCCTATCGCTTTTTAATATTATCTAGTATTGCCCCGGGCTCCCCATCCCATGTCCCCCTTCCCTTCTTCATGTTTAGTCTGCACCCCACGGTTTAGCACTATACCCATTCTCTTCCAAATACTGTATCTCAGCACTTGCTCTCCTGACATAACCCTAACACTAGTTAATCTGACCATCTTTTCTCCCCAGCTACACTTTCTTCATAGACCGTCTGTCTGTCTCACCAGGCCCATACTTCAAATATTACCTGCATGCTAATAACTCCCAAATCCTACCTCCTCTGCAGAACTTCTGAACTGTGCCGTTTAAAGAGCCAAACTGACGTCTCCACTCTAAGTCTGATAAGTACACCAAACTGGACTTGGCCAAGACTTACCTGCCCCCTCTCAAAAAAAACCCCTCAACTTTCCCTATTTCAATAAATGTCCCCAACGCTCACCCAGCTCGGTTCCAAACCCAGAAGTTTTCATCACACCTACTCTCTCGCGTCACATCCAATACATCGTCAAGCAGCCCCAGCCTCTCCCTGACTCCACCTCCTCCATCTACTGCACTGCACGTTCAGCGCTTCAACTACACAGGTCACCTTGTCTCCTGAACTCGAGATCCGCACGTGGCTAACTCACTTTCCTCACTCAGACCTCGGTTCAGATGCTTGCCTCGCTATGGTGACAACTCTCCTCGCCCCACCACAGTCCATGCCCTCTCCTCGCTTTATGGGCTGGTTCTCACTGGAACGCCAGCTCCAGGACGTAAGCGCCTGCTCTGTTCCTGGCATCTGGAGCACACCAGGTGTGGTAAGGCCTCAGGTGACGTGCGATTCTTAGTTCACTAGCTGGTCTAGTGTAGCTTCAGGACTGCCATGTAAGCAGCAAAAATCAGACCACTTAGGTATAAACAATTTTTATATTTTAAGAGGCAGCTCCTTATCTTCAAAAACTTTAAGTGGAGATATGCATAAAAGTTTTTATTCCAAATTAGGTGTAATTGTTATTTGAGAAAAGAAAAAAATCTTTCTTTAATCATCAAACTACTGTGCTGCTGTTGGTGAAACCTACTTCCGAGTTACATGTGAAAAGCTTTGTTTCACCAAACTTTTTTTTCCTTAATTATGGTTTGGAGGATGTTTAATATCTGGGTTCTGTTTCATGTGGGAAACAAACCTGCATTACCAAGTTAACTTAGAACTGACAAAAAAACCCCATAACTGGTTGAATTCCATTTCAGGGTTGTGACTTTCTATTCTCTATTTTTCCTAAACTTAAATTAAAAAACAACAAAAACATGGTGAGGCAAATGTGTACCTTAAATTACTTCAAGTGTACTATGTACCTGGTTTTATTTCAATTGTCTTCACGTTTTTTAGGGTCCTATACACATTTACATATTTTCAGAAGTGTTAAATGTTAAAATATAATATGACAAAATCTTACTTTAGGCTTTTTCCCTTCCTTTAACAAGGTTTTTCTCTTGAGGACACCCTGGATAGTAACAGCTCCTGGATATAAGTGTACCGCCAAATCTTCTGATTCTGCAGAACTATAATAATGAAACAAAGAAAAAAACAGGTAAGAGCTTTTGCGTATAGTAGCTATCAAGTAGGTACTTAAATGAAATGTAATTATTCTTTATTTCAAAACTTCATTACTTTATTCAGAATGAGAAGACACAATTATAAAGGTTTATTGATCTGAAATTTATAAGCTGCTACAAAAGTTAATCAGGAAGTTATTAAATCAGCAGATGGTTAAAAATACACACTTTATTACATATCTGAGCAAGTATAATTTAGAAAGAATAGGGTAATTTACTTTAGTAAAGATTAAATGAAAGATTTAAGACTTTTCTTCTTCTCAACATGCCACACTGCGTCACTGCTGTAAACTTTTCCCCCATTAGAAACTTTAAGTCCTGGTAGGAAAGATGAGGATTCTATTTGTTAAAAGTATTTAAGCATATAAAACTCAAAATAAAAATAATAAAAGCTCAAAAAGGAAAAAAAGAAAAAAGAAAACCCACAATTAATTTAATTCTAAAATAAGTGAAAGTAGTAAAAAGCACTAACAACATATTTTTAAAAATTGGCTTTCTGCAATCAATTTTAATTACATTTAAATGCTATCAATGCATAAGTGTTTGATTATAGCCTAACTCCAAAGATTTCCTCTCCATATATCTGAAGAAAACCATTACAAAATAACCAAACATTTAAATATCTTTCCCCAACTGATTTAAGGTCCTATATTTAAAACAAGAGTAATTTCTGCATGAGTCAATTAAAGCACACACACTAATAAAAATTTGTCATTCTCTGGTGATCCGATTTGAGCTGCAGAATTCCTACAACAGTGATGAAAACTGAAGCTTGCCAAGTTATTCCTTTATGATTATTTAGGTGTCTTCAAAGTGACTTAAAAGCCTAGAAACCGTTAGAAATTTCAGGCTAGGGCTATTTATTTTCAGGGAGGTATACAAAAGGAGATTAGACACCATCGAAATGACGTAAGTTCACTTCTAAAGTTGGTTCTTTTGCTGTATTATGAATTGGTTGATTACCCTTTACCACTACACTAACCTACAGCCCTCGAATCAATGTGGATTAGCCTTATTTTCTTCTGCAGCTAGGACAGTGCAGAAAGAGGACTCAGCTTAACTAGATGAACAATGGAACGATCATGCATTTAAATACACAAGTATTATTTAATGAAATAGACTAGTCTAAATTCAGGACCCGTAGTTTATCAAAAAAGTTCTCTCAAAGGGCAAATAAAATGTACGCTTATTAGCAAAATAAATTCTCTGGCTGTAGCCTTTGAATGAGGCTGCACATGGATCTTTGTATTGCTCATCCAGTAATCAGCAGCATTAGAAATAGCGATTCAAGTTTATCTGGATTAAATCTTGGAAAGTTTTCTAGGCATTTTTGTCAGTCTTTAAACCAATTAGTTGAGAAAGAACAGAAACTGTGAGACCACACCCATGTAAGCCAATCACCACCACCAGGGGGGAGCTCTGTGGCCCGAATGCAGGGGAATGGTACCTGCTGGCCTTCACGTGGCTTCGATAGCCATTTCGTGCCACTCGTGTCATCGGGCCGAGAGAATGGTACAATCTGTTCCTGTTGGATTCCATTATAAATTGTATACATTACATACACTTTAATTCACACAAACATCATCAGTACCTAGAACAGCATAATAATTCCTTCGTGTAATAAAGCTTTCTAAGTTTTACGAAAGATTAGTATGTGATTGTTCCTGTTTCTTTTTAAAAGCATGCAGCATAGATTTCAAAAACTTGTTTCTTTTGCTAGTGATGCTAGAATTAGTTATAGCTGCTTAGCACACATCATACATTTACATATACATTCACTTTCACAAATTAGCTAAAATACTTAAAGAGCCATTTATAACCAGGTACTAACGAAACTTGAAAAATACTTAAAAATCCCTTCTATTTCTATTCCAGTTCTTGGATTCCAGTTTAAATATGACACCTGGATTCATATAAATAATTCATTTTTATTGTATGTCCCTATGAAGACACCTAAAAGCAATGTGGCCAGTAAACTTAAAATTAGTGTTGTCAAAACACCTTATTATTTTCCTCCTTACCCTTTTTATTAGGTCCAAAAAAACTAATAAAAAAGGTAAACTGAGTAACAAATAAAGGCATTATTTTATTTCCATATGAACTGAAATAAATAATAAAGCTAGTAAGTGATAAAAATAGTAAGAGCTAATATTTATCCAAAATGGCATGTAATACTTAACAAAAAAGAAAATAAACACACACATAGACACTGATACTTCTTTGCCTGGGAAAAGCCAAAAGTAGTGCACTGATAAATAATATTTAAAACAAAAAGCATTATTTTAGCAACTGAAGCAGCAACATATTTGATGTCTCTCTAGGAATTAAGAACAGAAAATGGCATGTTTAACATTCAGAGTAGTACTTTCAAGTTCATTATCTACAGGTAGTATTTTAAATCCCAGTTCTTCATTCATTTATTATTATTTCGAGTCTGAATCTTGTTGGGCAGCATTAATTTGCTCTCAGAATGTTTCAAGAGCCACTGATTTAACTTGGCACGAGTACAGTACATTTTTTTAGCTGCAAATGTTTGCGAAGCAAAACATTTGCCATAAAAAAATTGTTTTGAGATGTGAACGTAATACGGTCAAACACTGTCTTTGAAAATAACCTGTGGGGATGAGAACAGGTTACCCACACCACTCTGGTTACTCACTAATATCTCAAGCAATCCGAGACAATTTTGTTCATTGATATTTTTTATCTAAAGGTTACAACACACGCTATCATCAATATGATGGTATTACGCTTTCTAGAGGGAAGCAGCTAAGGCAATCTGTACAGACAGCATATGCCGCCGCAGGCAACTCTTGCGTTTTTCCCGTTTCAGGCAAACCCAAATAAAGAGATTGAAAGTAAAAGTTGGAAGAAAAATAATATGCAAAAACAAATTGTTAAGAATACCTCAAAACAAAGAGAACGAAACCTGGGAGCACCAATAGTGCAGAAAGGCTTAAGAGTACTTTAACATATTGGGTTTCCAAGTAAAATCTTCATCACATAATGGTGAGAATTCTTTATAAAGCATCATCAAGAACAACGACATAGTTTCCCAATTAAACAAAATTCAAATATAATTTAATTTTAAGTATATATTTCGTAAAATTGTTTTCTATTAAAAGTCACTGATACAAAGATAGGTAACTAAATATTTTAATTCCATCAATTTTAACATGACATTCGAAATTCAATCTGAACGACACTCTTGCTTAGAAACTTAGGTAACTTAGTTATATACAAAAAAGAGCAATTACTTTGGTCAAGAGTCAAGTGTCTTATAAGTATAAATATGTCAGAACTGAAATGGTCAAAGACAATATAAGCCCTACTGAACATTAAGTAAATAAAAATTATTTGCACTGTTTAGCTACATGTTTAAGGTCATCTTACTTAAAAGATCAATATAACATGACATTTGCTGCAGGCTGATGATGGCTTTTAGAGCTTAAAACAAAAGGGAAGAAGAAAGCATGGCATAGTATTTCAGTATAAATCTGTGTGCTCTGTGCAAACTTTGAGTTGATGACAATTCAAATTCAAACTTCAAACTGATTTGTTTACAATATAATTTTAAATTTACTAGTCATTTTGCCCTTGACAAAGTAGTAGAGAAGGCAGTTGACCATTCTCCTAAATGCCTTAAATTACTTGTCAACCAGAATTTAAGGAAATAACTTTACTTTTCAACACATAAATAGATACATTGACCATGATTATTTATTATTTTTAAATTATAATTTTAAATGTACTAAAAAATTCATATACAAGTGTCAAGCCACCAAACAAACATGTATTTATAAGGTATAAGACTCAATTCCAGACTTAAATGTCAACTTCTAATTTCTGCCACTTGCAGGAAGCTCAAATAGTCCCTTAGAGACATGTGATAAATATTATCTCTTAAAATTCATATGATCATAGGTGAATTATATTATTCATATACTTTTAGACAGACAAAAACAAAAACCTCAGAGCAGTTCAAATGGACAATTTTTCTTACCTTTCAAAAGCAGGCCATGAGGTCTCTTCACTTAGTTCAGAACCATCACTGCTACCTAAAATCACAAGTTATTCCATTTTTTTAAACATCAGAATTACAGTTTGAGTTTTTTAACTTTAAAAATAGTTTCTTTAACTGTGCTTGTAAAATGAGAATCATGTTTTTTGTGGGTGAACATCCATATATTAATTCTTTATTCTAATATTATTGCTGCTAAATTTATTTTATAATATACTGAAATACAGTTGACAAGAAAGCAAATTAACATAAAACATTTCTGTGTATCTACTTATAGCTCAAATTCATTATGTTAATAAGTAACTTCTGTATGACCAGACAATGACATAAGCACACTTTTCCTTACCAGGTTTTTCATAATTTAAGACCAACATAATTATGAAATTCTTAGGAGTCCATGGCATACTTCGAACCAGGGACCTCTCAGTGAATGGGATGATGCTTGATCAACTGAGCCACACTGGCCAGGGCACCATCACAAATTCTTAACTTCAGTACTACTACTAAGATGATCCTATGTCTAACTGCTACTTTGCTTTCATCAAATTTTCTGTATATGTAGTAGGGTTAATGATGTTTTTCCAGCTGAGTTTTGTGAAAAGCCACATTTTAAACAAGTTGGAACCCTCTCAGAGAAATATTTCTCACCTATTGATATTCCACTAGAAAGAGTAGAACTTTCAGCCTGGCCTCGAGATGGTGCGTGGGGCTCCATAACGCTATCGTCTAACAGATGCCTTGGCCCTGCATTTGGGAACGTTGCACTCTTAAACTCTGCTGTATTCATTTTATGAATGAAACTAGAAACAAAGGAAAAATACTCATTACTGTTACTAATTCAGGATATAGAAGATATTTCTATATAAAGATCCAAGAAATGAGATTTACCCACTATCCTGAACTTCTGAATTCTCATACTAATGAACACACAGATTTTACCACGAAGGCCTCAAACTAACAGTTTAGGGAAATTATTTTAGGAAACCAGGCCATATCCACCTATGTAACAGAGAATGCTTTAAGTCTCCTGCCCATTAGAAAATTGTTTTCACATTCATTTTTGGAAAATAGCTATTAAATTTTCACAAAAATCATGGCAAAGGTGTGCTATCAGCCCCGTTTTGAAAAAACAATCTTGCAAAGCTCAAGAAATGAAACATAAAACCATTTCCCATTCTTCATATTTAGGAATAAAAAGAACAATTTTTATAAACCTTAATTTATGGAGACTTATTTTAGTTAAGACAAGCAGTAACTGTCCTGATACAAATAAAGCTTGCAATTTAAAAGTAGAGTGGTATATTGCTTGCCTGACTTTATTTATAATGATGCTCTGTGATGTTCATTTATATCCCCCAAATGTGAAAGCACTGTTGGGAAAAGCTCATTTCCAAATTAAGGTAAAGGAAGAAATAAATGCTTTTAGGCAAACAAGACATTTTACTGAATCAGAGAAATACTATTGTATATAAAAAAAGATGCGAGGACACTATTTTATATTTAATAAAATAAACAGAAAGTAAATCCAACTGAAAACGATTTAAGAATTGGAAAGATAAAATGAAAAATGCTGACTTGTAACCCAGGCTATGGCACTTCCTATGTCCATGTGGGATCAGGTTCCGAGGGGATGGCAGTGTCTGTGGTAACAAGGCTCCCTCAGCGGCCACACTCCTTCTTCCACTCTGTGGAGATCCCACTTCAGGACCTAAAGGGTCAATTTAAAAAGAGACAGGGAGCAAGAAATTTTCAAAAGATTGTTCTATTTTAATCCTTTCATATAAAAATATAAAATGTGGTTTAAATTTTAAGATATGTTAATTCCACTTAATTGACTGAACATGAGAAAGTTCTTTTCTAAGTCTTAAAACACAAAATCCCAAAGCGTACAAAATCCACTGATTTCTCTCTCTCTGACACACTAAGTAGGAAGTGTAAATATTTCCCCCGTGACAGAGGAGGCAGGATGAGAGGAGCTGGGCTCAGGGTCTCAAGCCCCAGATGACACCCAGACTGAACACTCAGGTCTCCGATCCCCAGCTCACTGCTCTGTTTAGTTTTATACTCGGCTTCTTTACTCTTACTTTCACAGCTTCCTTTCAGATAAGAGATGTGTAGGGCAGGCCAAACACTCAAGTAAGAATTTAAATCTACGTCGACACTGTTCAAGCTTATGGAAATAAAAAAAAAAGAACTCAGAAGTACACAGATTGGCAAAACACCACTGTAAGAAGAGCAAATTTAAGAGATTTAGGCTGAAATGTCTTCCTTTGCTTGGAACCCTCTTGCCCCTAAATACAGCCACGTTGCTCCCTCGCTTCCTTCATATATTATTAGATGGCTCTTCAAACATTTTTTAGAACATACAATCATATGAAGCTAGTTACCAAGGTCTGTGTTTGGAATTTTTAAAAAAGGTACTTACCAATGATTTCTTAAATAATGAATAATTCTCTTCAATTTTACATTTTTGCCTATGTGTGGTATAGATGTAACATCCTCATTATAATGCAACAGGTAAATTAAGGGACTATGACTATTTTTTAATATTTTCAGCACTTGATCCAGTGTTAAAAAAATTAACTCACTAAAACTGACTTCTATAATCATTCAAATTAGTAGAATTTTCCACTTGATCACAGAAATTTCTAATGTAATTAACATTCCTTGCTTAGGACAGTGTATTCTGCTTAAATAAATACATAAACAAACAGATATTTCTAACCCTTACCTGTTATTTTCTGTCTGTGGTACCTACTTTCCTGGATTACCCTGATTAGTCATAATATCTGTTTGTACATCACTGACAACCTACAAGTAACAACTTTTTGATTAAAAACCAAAACAAAAACAAAACAGAAAAAAAAAAAAGATATATTTCAATAGTCAAAGTAAACTTTGGATGCAATATAAAATGTGCTAAGTACTTACATACTTTGGAGCATATCCTTTCCTACTAGGTTACCTGACTTATTGCTGGTAATGAGAGAAAACTGTGCACTGACCTACTAAATCTTCCCTGGAGGCAGCAGAGCGTGGTGTGCTTGTCCCTGGTTCTATCTTTAATGAAAGCCTGAATTTCAAAAAGAAACAAAATACATAAAATGATTAACATCTGACAAAGTAATACTAAAATCATGTATTTTCTTACAAAAAAACTAAAAACATTTTTATAAAAGAATCTCAGCTATGTATCTTTCTTCAAGAGCAAACTTTAATAGTTAAGTCTCCTATCTCTTCCATACAAGGCTGATCTTATGGTCATTCTAGGAAATATTAGAAAGGGGAAAAACATTAAAAAGTCTTATTTAAAAATAGAAAAATCTCAAACTACTCTAACATTGCTAAACAATTCATCACTTTTAAAGATACTCGATGAATGACTAAAAGGTGATTTAACTGGAAGTTATACTGATACCTGACACTTAATTCATAAACTTTCACATATATTATTAAGTACATTATGCAGATTCTTCCTAGAATCTTTACTGGATGGGGCTAACAGCTTCTTTAGCCTCTTAAGGTTGCTTGCAAAATTCCTGGTAAGTTCCTGCCCTAAGTCAAAGTTTATTAGTTGGTAGTTAAGTTCCATTTAGGATCATAAATCCAGTTTTGAGTTCCACAGCAGAAGAGATTATGATTTCTATCAGTGGAAACTATTTCAGGAAACAGGATACTAAAGCCATTGTGGAGAATACTTTGGTGTAGTCCATAAAGCCTATTATTATTAAGCATTTGTCTGAAAATTAATAAAGGCATTTTATTTTTTAACATTCCGTGAGCTGGGATTTTTTATGAAATTGCATAATACAAGTGACATTCATAATAATATATCTATTACAGGTTCCTAACTTACTATTTCTTTGGTAACCTAAGAGGGGGTTAGGTACAATTCTATTCCATTTATTGGACAGTATAAAATGCATTTGTTGAATATGATTAACCAGAAAGCTCTGATTTTTCTTATTACAGAGCACTTTAATCATCTGGGCTGCAGACTATACTGAGCTCATTCATTAAATAGTCATTGAACACCTGCTTTGTGTTGGACACTATGGTTCCTGCCCTCCTGAAGCTTCTAGTCTAGTAGGTGGAAGACAAAGGCGTAACAAAATAACTGTAATTTCCTGACACAGAACCAAAATAGAAGAAACAGAAAGGAAGCCATGGGGGAATCATGGGGCTCTCAGCAGCAGCGGATCACTGACAGCAGAACAGAGGCAGAAGCATCGCACATAGCGCAGCAGCGGAGGCTGGCCAGTGTCAGTGCCTGTATCATCATCAGAACACCGCGTGATAACAGTGATGCCGAGTCAATGAAAAAGATACATCATCATCAAAACACCGTGTGATAACAGTGATGCTGAATCAATGAAAAAAGATATTATGTTCAGTATTAAAATGAAAGAACTTCAAAAGATTTCATTCTGTTCAAATCATATACATGTAATTTGTAATATCTATACTGGCTATATAGATAAAGTTGCCAAAAACAGAGGCCTTTGGATAAATGAAGTGTCATTTTTATTTAAATTCTTCATCATAAAAATACACTTTTCCCCTAACTAATTACTTTAATGGCTCCTATCTTAAAATGCTGATTTTCAACACATTTAATTAGGAGGTTCACACAACACAACTGTAGCTTTCAAAAAACGATCTACTGTATCTTCTTCAGTTTCCCGTATGATGCCCCAACGACACCAAGCGGCTTGTAGTCCCCAAGCAAACCCACTGTTTCCCATCCTATGCCTCTGACCATTCCCTCCTGAAACACCCTTCAATGTGGAGCTAATTCCTACTCAGAGTCACCCTTAGGTGATACTGTCTCCTGAAGCTGTTCGGGTTTCTTTTCACTTTCCCCACTAAGCCAAGTCAGGTCCTCCCTTATCCATGTTCCATAGTACGCTGGGTATATCTCTATTTATTATAGCACTGTTTGAACTGCTTGTAATCATCTGTTTCACGGATGTGTTTTGCATTAGACTGAGCTGCTTAAGGGCAAGAAGTTCATCTTATTTTTGTAATCCCAGCAACTAGCACAATAACTAGCCTATAACAAAAGTCTAATAAATATCTGTTAAATACAAATAAGGGGACGGCTGTTCTGGTTTTAGCTACTTATGATAATAAAAATCAATATAATAGCATCAGCTTTCCTACAAAAATGAAGGTATCTTATGTCAGTTTATACAGTGAAAACTACTTACTGGCTTAAGTGGTTAATTCTATTCTTTTAGCGAAGTAAAAAGTAGCTTAAATACTTTATTGTACTTTTACCATTGCCAATAAAAACTTACCATCCTTTATAACTCTGCAATAATTTCTTAGACTTCACTTCTACTGAATCAACTATAACTTCTCTTAAATCTAATACATTTCTTGAGTCAGATATAGAAATTTTAATAGCTACTTGCTCATATTTTGAGTTTAAAGGTGTTTTCAAACATTAATAAAAGATCAGATGAGCCCTGGCCAGTGTGGCTCAGTTGGCTGGGCATCATCCTGTGCACGGAAAGGCTGCTGGTCTGATTCCCAGGCAGGGCACAGGCCCAGGTCTTGGGTTTGATCCCTGGCAGGGCTCATACAGAAGGCAGCTGATTGATGTTTCACTCTCACATCAGTGTTTCTCTCTCATTCTCTCTCTCCTTCCTTCCTCTCTTTCTAAAAATAATCTTAAAAGAAAAAATGACATATTTGTACATTGACTCAATCATGTCAAGTGACTAAAAAAAGATACATGTAAATACCTTTACCACTGCAAATGTATGGCTGGATTAGGCATTTGCATGATATGATGTAAGACTTACATGTTTAAATACATGGGGACAAGAGGGGGGAGGACAGTTATACAAACCAATCTGAAGATTCAACCTACTTGTAATTATCATCTTCCACAAACTTTTGCAGCTCTTCTATATACTGAACAGAGTTCAGATATTTTTGGACGTGAGGCAACATGGGGATATCTAGGCAAAATATGATAAGTAATTAATTATCTGATAAAGTACATCTCAACCACAGTTTCAAAAGTTAAGCTGAGAAAATATTTAAAGGTGAATTAAGGCCACATGGTACCAAATTTAAATTAATTCTAGAAGGACATTACTGAGGAAAATTTTATTTAAAGTGAGACTGAAAGTTGTTTGTACAGATTAAAAAAACAAAACAAAATCCAAAACAGCCCCATTTACAAAGTCCAGCACATTTGAGACATTTCTTAGAAAAAATCAGAGACTTCATTGTGATTTATATTAAAACCTAACCTAAAGGCAAGATGTAAGGCAGTTTTCTTTTCTTTTAAAGAAGCCTGGCTCCCATTTGTAAATGTAGTTTTTCCTTTCCTACTTAGAAATTTCAAACAACATTAATTTAATATTATAATTTGGTGTTATGTTTTTAAGAAATGAGAAAAAGACAAAGAGATTGTTTGACTTAACTTTCAGTAAGATTCACCCCCAGCCCCAACTTTCAGGAAGCTGTTGAGGTTTTCTTAAAAGTACAGATGCACACAGTGAAGTTTGCTTTAAGACAAATTTATTTTAAATTAATCAGTGTAAACTCACTGTTTTATAATACCATAAAAATTATATGTCAGTAGCCTATATTTATTCCCTATCAAATTGAAAGCATCCAAACATATTTAAAACATTAAAAAAAAACCACACACAAGTTTTTGTAATCATCTGGGCTTGTGTAAGCTTCTTCTACATGTGTGTTTCCACAAAATATGTCTTGGAAAAAAACTGGTTATTTACTCAATAACAGACTCAAGAAAGCTAGTCAATTGCTACCAGGATCAAGAGTCGTAGCTCCTTCCCTCACTGAAAACTATAAGAACTATTTCCGTAACAGGTCAGGGAGATCAAATGGGATGAACAGAAAATAATTTTCTCAATTATGTTGGCAAAGTTTGTTACAAAATAGCAAAAGAGCAAAGGTAAAACTTAAAATTTTAACTATGAAATACTTCCATTCCTTAAAAGCAAGATCTTATATAGAATGCTAAATATTAAACAGGGATATGAAACAATCAGTGTCTTCCTTCATGTTAAGATGATGTTTCCCTCGGTGTGAACAGTGGCCTGGGTAGTGTGTAAGTGAATCAGCAGAATCACAACACGATGCCTTAGTACCACCCCGGAAACTTACCGTATTCACAAGACTGCTGCAAATCAGAAATTATTCGAAGGATGTTATTCATCAAATTTGATCTTTGCTCACTTTCTAGAATGCTGCCAGTTGACGGGTATGCTGAATCAATGTATGTTAAATCTGACAAATAGATACCTGAAACGAAATTAGATAAATGAGTGTTTTCCTACTTGTAGCTTGAAGAGTAGGACAAAGAGAAGGGGGAAAAAGCTAGCTTACAGCTGTATTTCAGTATGTGCCGTACTTAGAATGTACTGTTATTAATACAGCACAGCCTTGTAAACACACTGCCACTGAGGCCTACATTTCCATGCTGTTGGGGGTCAAACATGTAAGTATGTTTTTTTGGTACATGTCCTCTTCTGACACCATCTTAAAGTATGATTTTTTAAAAAATCCTCACCTGAGGGCATGCTGAGAGAGAGGGAGGGAGG